TAGTCTTTCACACACACACACACACACACACACACACACACACACGCACACAAATATATGCATACATACACACACCCTTCTTTTATTTATTTATTTTTATTTTCAAGGATCTTGGCAGAAACATTCATCACATTTTTTGGATTTTTTTTTTTTTTTTGCTTTACTCAAAATACATATAAACCACCACAACCATCTCAGTCTATCTTAGATCACCCTTTTTTTCTCTGACACTATTCCTGCCATACACACACACACACACGTACGTGTGTGTGTGTGTGTGTGTGTGTGTGTGTGTAATTGGAAGGACTAATGATTTATTAAGTCAATCCTTTTTTCACTTGACTCAACATATTTTCATACGTTTAGTATATTATGTTTAGGATAAGATAATATTGAGAAAATTATGGCAATTGAGATGTCAATATTAACAGAAGATTTCAGATTTTTTCAGCTAATGCAGTTGCAACAAAATTTCAGTATCAATTCTTTTTCTTCAGGCATTAGTTCTATTACATGAAGAATTTATGTATGTGTGTGTCCAAGCAATTAAGTTTCCTATTATGTTTATATGCCATGCAATTAATGGACCTTCCAAAATGAGATATCAACCATACTGTTTCAAAGACACTTCGGAAAATCATACACCCGCTGTAAATCTTTTCATATTATTAGACAGACAGACAGACTCAGAGTTATCAGTCAGGGAATTCTTTACAGGGGGAAATTATATAATGGAATCTATAATTCATACTGCATTTTTACTGAATGGAACATGCTGATTTAATTCTATAAATAAGGAAAATCCAGACAATTGGTAAACGTACACTATCTAAGTCTACTTGCTGGAACCATTTTGGATTCTTCCCAACCCCAAGATTGCAACACTTCACAAGAATCATCATAAGTTCCAATCACATAATGGGAACATACAATATACAAGGCTTTCATTTATGTGAGATTTCTTTCATTATCCAAAAAGAAACTTATACAAAATAAGAGAGACATATTCAACATGTATTTGGCAAAGAAAATTAGCATACTTCTTACTGTAACATCAATCAAAGAAGAAAATAAAGGGGACCTACATTGAGCTGTAGATCATCTGTCCATTGGCCTATCAGATGGTAGCCTGGCAAGGAGGTATTTGTGGTTTGATATTGAAAGATGTCATAACGTCCTGGTGCATCACCATTCTTATTAAACATCACTGGAGTGCCAGCACTACCTAAGAAAGGGTGTGAAGCAAAAGAAAAAAGAAAGCAGGCAAACTTTTTTTAAAAAAAAATCCTTGCTTTGTTTTGTTTCTGTGAGCATGACTGACAAGCATTAATCAATTTCTTCATTTGTTCAATTTTAAGCTATCCAATAACAAAGTTCTCTTGGCAACAGATAGAGAAATTAAACATAAAAGACAAAATGGAGCAATAATGAAAAATAAAAGAACATCTTTAAGAAAAGAATAATTAAAAAATAGAGACATACTTTTAACCTAGTAAAAATATATATCAACACAAAACTGTCTAAATGTTTGAAAAATGAGCAGTTATGCCAGCTTAAAGGTTTTGAAAACTGAAATTAAACTTTCCCAGCAATTCCTATCAGCAGTATTAAATGGTCCTTTTAAAAATGCTCTACCTCTATATCAGTTTTTGATTAATAATCATGAGCCATGTGGTTCTTGCTTAATAAGAAACTAAAAAAGAGTAGTAATTGTCCTGTTTCTATTTTAAGTCACATGTAGGACAGGTTATATGACAGTGATGGCGAACCTTTTAGAGACCGAGTGCCCAAACTGCAACCCAAAACCCACTTATGTATAGTCGGGTGCCAGATGGACGTGGCCCACTGGGTGGGTGTGGCCATCGGGTGGCGTGGCTGCGGTGCTAACGGCAGACTGGGTGGGACTAAAAAGTTCAATCAATCAATTCCAACTTTGCGAGATTTTTTTTTCCTGCAAAAAGTTGAAATTGATTGATTGAGCCTTTTTTTTTTTTTTTTTTGGCACACGACGGTGGAGGCCTAAAGTGAAAAGGTTTTATAAAACCCAGCTGAAGGCCTCGGACTGGGGTGATGGCGTGCGTGCCCACAGAGAGGGCTCTGCATGCCACCTGTGGCACGCGTGCCATAGGTTCGCCACCACGGTTATATGACATTCCTTCATTCTATCACATAAGAAGAATTCTTTTTTTTTTATCAAAAATCAGAACTTTAGAATATAATTTTGGGGGTTTTCTGCCCAGAAAAAAATCTGTTTGCTTCAAGAGAAACAGCCAGCAAAAGATAGTCTTGATGTGCCAAATCTTGACCAGCATCCCGAAATAGCTTAATTTTCCAAAATCTGTTCTTATTCTACTAACTCCCATACTTACGGAAGAGAAAAAACAACAACATAGATCTTAGCAAATAATCCTTGTGCTTGGCTTATTTTAAACTCATGAATTTAATATTTTGGCAGTTTCTGAAAATTGCTAATTATTCATTGAAACCGTTGGAATATATAATTTGATTCAAAAGTGAAATTACAACAATAGAAAGTAGTAGAAATTAAAAAAGGATAAAAAGAAAAAGCGAAAGGTATAGAAAAGAAAGAAAAAGATACAATACAAATATAGTAAACAAAAAGAAAGCTATAAAGAAATGACTTTATCACAAGTATAAACAATTTTAGTAACATATAACTTTCTCTTAAAATGCAACAAATTATCTTCTTCTCCAACATCTACAATCAAATCCCTAAAAGCTTGCTATTTCACTCCTGATTCATCATAAAATCTGTTAAAGGTTACCAATATAATGACATGCCTATTTTAGCCTTGATCAAATAGAGCAATATTATGTTGCTCCCTTTATTTCTAACAATCCTGATCTTTAGTCCCTTTAAATAATGTCATTGAACGTGATTTCTTTTCATTTTTTATTTGATCCATCTCACAATATTCATCAAAATTTTAACAGGCCTCTTTTGGAAATCCAGTATAGGAAAATTATCCAAGTCATATTCTTGGTCTGTGGCTTGTATATTTTTAAAATTATTAAGGTATCAACCACTTTCTTTTAGAAGTCCAGTGTCACATCTTTTTCCATGTCATTCTTGTAGCCTGTCATTTTAAAATCCACTTTCAGATCATTCCTAATGTTGTCAAATATTGTTCCTCTTTCATAAAATCTTTTAGATGTAGTCTATTTATAGAGGCAGACACTATTAAAATTAACTTCTGGGTGCATTCTTCAAAAATATTCTTCAATATATCCAATATTAAAGTATTGAGTTTGAATGTTCTCCTTTGATTGAAAATTTTAGTTCATTTTAGCCCTTTTAGTATCCAATGTTAGTCTTATCTTATTTATTTTTAAAAAATCAAAACAAAACCATTTCCCACAGGAAGATTTCTTTATAATTAATTCCAAAAACTTATTTTTAAGACTTCCGGTTTTTCACAGTAACACAGAAGCCAAGGGATTGTGAGGCTCTGTACCCTATGGCTGATTTTCTTCCTGTTAGGGGGCTCTAAATGGGCCAGAGGTTGCCCCGAAGAGGTGGCAAAAAAGGAAGAAATCCCATGGATCACAGAGAGATGGCGGTCAACCCAATCGGTCCAGGAGAAGCCTTCCAGAAACCAACAGGAGAAAGGCTAGCCTAACTTCAGAGTCTAGCTCAAGCTACAAGCAACCAAAGTAAAAAAAGTATTACTTTAAGCTGATTGTAAACAGTGCATTTGAATCTGGGTAAGAACATCAATTTTCTCTATCCTACTTATCAGCTAATTTCCTGAAAAAAAAATCCCAAGAAGCAAAAAACCTCCGAAAGTGAAGGAGGGGGATCTTTGCCCCATCCTTTTACTAATGGAAGTGGTGAATTAAACCTTTTATGGAGGACTAAAACATATAGAAATGAAATGAAATGAATATAAAACCTAAATTTGGATAAGTTTGAAATTGATGAATGGTTAAGATTCTCATTTTAAAGACAACTGTTTATTTCGAAAATTGAAAAACGAACTGGTGCTGACATCTAGTGGTGGATGAAGACCATGACGCTATGGCTTGGCAAAATCTGGAAAAAACTAATCTGTGCTTCTGACCTTCAAAGCTCTAACAATAGAGAACAGCTGTGACAAAAAAAGAAAAGTATCTGGGCTACAGACAAAGAGAGAATTATAAACTTCAGGAAAATATCTACTTAACTGTGACTCCAAAGCTATTTGTAGAGAAAAGAAAACCTTGATTCTTGGCTATCATGGAAAATCAGAGACTTGTAGAAAGAACTTATTAAGAAAAAAACAAATACCTTTCAAGATGAGATATATGATATGCTGCAACTAATTCAAATAACAATGATTTCAAGCCACAAAGAAATCCAAAATAACTTTGAAAATATAAACCAATCTATCTCCAATTTAACTTTACACAAAAAAAATCCCAGAAAACAACACTAGAGAAAGAGCAGATAAAACAGATAACTGAATACAAATTCAAGGATAGAGACTTAAAGATGGGACCTAAGAAAACACAGAAGTATAATTTAACCCAAGTGAAAAAAAATTCCCAAGAAATATTAGATTTGGAAAAAACAACTTATACTTTAAAACACAAAACAAATTTGAGGACAAGAAAAAAGATTGGACAAAATGGACTGCAGAGATGTCAGAAACACCACGAGAACTGGAAAGACAAGAAATGATAAGAGAAACAGAGAGAAAAAGAAAGAAAAAGATTTTCTACAAACATGAAAAGGCAAAAGCTTCCTACAAAGACAATAATAATAATAATAATAATAATAATAATAATAATAATAAACCTTCTTTTCAATAAACTAGACATATCCAATTCCAGCAATGTTCTTTATATGTTTTAGCCTCCGACCCCTAATCATCTTTGTTGCTCTTCTCTGTACTCTTTCTAGAGTCTCAACATCTTTTTTACATCGTGGTGACCAAAACTGGATGCAGTATTCCAAGTGTGGCCTTACCAAGGCATTGTAAAGTGGTATTAACACTTCACGTGATCTTGATTCTATCCCTTTGTTAATGCAGCTTTGCACTGTGTTTGCTTTTTTGGCAGCTGCAGCACACTGCTGGCTCATATTTAAATGATTGTCCACTAGGACTCTGAGATCCCTCTCACAGTTACTACTATTGAGCAAGGTACCACCTATACTGTACCTGTGCATTTGGTTTTTCTTGCCTAAATGTAGAAACTTACTCTTTTCACCATTGAATTTCATTTTGTTAGATAGCGTCCAATGTTCAAGTCTGTCAAGATCCTTCTGTATCTTAAGCCTATCTTCTGGAGTATTGTCTATTCCTGTCAGCTTGGTGTCATCTGAAAATCTGATGAGTTCCCCATCTATCCTCTTGTCCAAATTGTTGATGTAGATGTTGAAGAGCACTGGGCCAAGAACAGAACCCTGGGGCACCCCACTACACACTTCCCTCCATGTAGATGCAGTTCCATTGAGGACCACACACTGAGTACGGCCGGTCAGCCAGCTATGAATCCATCTGGTGGTGATGCTATATAATCCACATTTTTCTATCTTATCAAGTAGTAGGTTGTGGTCTACTTTATCAAATGCCTTACTGAAGTCCAAGTAAAGTGGACAATCTCACATTCTCTTCTTGTCTAGAGAGGAATTATTGAAGAGCTGGTCTACTTACCAGCTCTTCATTCCACCACAGTATTCAGCTCCACTTTTTGAGGAGACATCTTCAGTTCACCATTTCTTTCCTGGATATCTCTTTCTCCAAGAATATTTTCCTTATATATATGTACTGTACAATAAGTGTAAATTAAAGACTGATAAAAGATTGTAAAGGCATAATAAAGCCATTTTATAAAGGAAAAGGCTGGCTTTTGTAAATAAATGAGAGCATCCTGTAGCAAAATCTATGCAAATGAAGATATATATGTTATTCATCAGAAGACCAATGTTTAGGAAATATAAAATTCCCATTTATTTAGACATTGTGGTTAACTATAAACAGTGAAAGATTTTTAACAGAATATAAAAGGAAGGATTGCACAGGAGACAGATGTTCACACTGAGAGAGCAAGAACTATTGTAATAAGCTAACACATTGCATTCTATTGATAAAGCTTGACTAAAACTTTAAACTAAAATTCTATCAGAAGGGAGACAAAGGAGCAGTCCATCACAACAGCCACTCAATGTTACTTGACAAACCTGGGTTGAATAAAATATATTTTCTTTGACCTCCATTGATCATCTAGTCTAGTGTGTTTTATTATATTCCTGACCAGTGCTTTTTTCTAAAAAAAAAAAAAAAGGTGCCAGAACTCACACACATCATACAACCCGCCTTGCCTACCCTACAAGGTTCCATCCAAAAAAGGTGCTGGAACTCCGTTCTGGGCGTTCTATGAGAAAAAAAAGCCCTGTTCCTGACTATAGGAAAAGAAGGTGTCAAATCCTTCCGATAATAGAAACACAGATGTATCTTTTGAAATTCATACTAAAAATGCCTTCTAAAACTCTTTGATCTTAGGTTACTTCTAAAACCTAAGTAACCAATTGTAGCCTTAACTTCTCCCTTTTACATAATTAACAAATGTTAACATTAAATCTTGCTTCCTTTGTTTTGTCATCAAGTGTAGAAATGCTGGTCTCATCCATACAACCTCCTAGCTCTGTCAAGATGACTATTAACAATTTGCTAAGGTTATGTCTAACCCTAACCCTAACCCCATCAATCATCATCATGACCATCATCATCTCTAAATAGAAATGTGTAATAATGTCTAAAGTATAGTGCAAAAATATTCAAGCAGCAATTAGCAGCATGGGGAAAAAAGGGAGGGGGGGAGAAAGGAAGGGCTATCAAAAATAATGTTTTGTTCTTTATTGTTGTTTTTTCTGCTTTTTAAATAGTTGTTTCCTTTTTTATAATTATCATTTGTATGTTTACATGTATCAATCAATCGACCAGAATAGAGCTGGAAGGGACTTTGAAGGTCTTAGAGTCCAACTCCCTGCTCAAGTAGGAGACCCTATACCAGGGGTAGGCAACCTTGGCTCTTTTATGACTCGTGGACTTCAACTCCCAGAATTCCTGAGCTCAGGAATTCTGGGAGTTGAAGTCCACGAGTCATAAAAGAGCCAAGGTTGCCTACCCCTGCCCTATACCATTTCAGATAGTTGGCTGTCCAGTCTTTTCTTAAAAACCTCAAGTGAGAAAAATATCCTTTTTCTTTTTTGTGTGTTTTTGCTTATTTTCTTTGCAAGTTTTACTTAAGTAATAGAAAGAGACGTTAAAAATACTGAAAACTTCAATAGCACTCAGACTTACATTTATATAAAGCGCCTGAGGGCAGGACAAGAAGCAACGGGTGGAAACTAACCAAGGAGAGAAGCAACCTAGAACTAAGGAGAAACTTCCTGACAGTTAGAACAATTAACCAGTGGAACAACCTGCCTCCAGAAGTGGTGAATGCTCCAACACTGGAAGTTTTTAAGAAGGGACTGGACAGCCATTTGTCCGAAATGGTATAGGGTTTCCTGCCTGAGCAGGGGGTTGGACTAGATGACCTCCAAGGTCCCTTCCATCTTTATTATTATTATTATTATTATTATTATTATTATTATTATTATTATTATTATTATTATTATTGACATCTGAAATATTTCCATTCTATTTTATTCATATGTTTAATGATTTACAGCTTCCAGCAAAATAATAGCAGTAGCACTTAGTCTTATATACCAGTTCACAGTGTTTTACAGCCCTCTCTAACTGGTTTACAGACTCAACATATTGCCCCCAACAATTTGGGTCCTGATTTTACCAACCTAGGAAGGATGGAAGGCTGAGTCAATCTGGAGCCAGTGAGAATCAAATTTCTGGCAGTCAGCAGAATTAGCCTACAATACTGCATTCTACCTACTGCATCACCACAGCTCCTTACTACATTTTAGATTACATTGTTTTCAATAAGAAATATTTTTTTTCAGAAATGACTTTATTGAAATCCAGTAAGAAATAATATTTCAGAAATGACTTTATTTAATTTAATATAGTATAAATGGTGAGATTGCTGGGGATGAAGAGGAATTAATACTTTATTTAAATACATTTTTATAGCACTCAATAATTGTTCCATTTGGGAAAGGAGTTATTGCATGCATTAACTTAATTTTGAGATTCTGTGTTTTTAGATGTTTGTATTCTTTTGAAGTGTATCCCTATCACATAATTGTTCAGCATTGGAAAGACGAATATACAGCTCCAACTATTCAATGGTCTGCAGAATCAATCAGCCTAAGTAGAATAGCTATGAATGACTATAAGGAATTATAAGTTCCATTTATTGAAATATATATATTACAATTTTATATATGTAGGTTTGTCTGTGCATATAAGTCCTATGTGTTTTTTGGGGGGAGTTAGCTTTCTTTCTTTCTTTCTTTCTTTCTTTCTTTCTTTCTTTCTTTCTTTCTTTCTTTCTTTCTT